TAAACTATGGGTAAACTGTAGATCAAATGGAATATTCAGAGAATGTGTCATGGAACAGCAGTAGCCTGTGCGCAAGGCCTTCACAAGAACCAGTTAAAAAGGGCTGTTTAGCCAAAAGAAGGGAAAAATGGAATATTTGTGGCCAGCCTTTACACAACAATGGTCCATGGAAACCAGCTGGAACATCCTTGTAAGACATGTAAGAACATCCAATGAATGCAAAATGGCATCTGAAACTGGGAGAAAGCTTATTTGTATAACCCTATGAAAGTGAAAATGAAAGAGGGAGAATGCAGCAAAAGATACAGAACAGGATTTAACAATTTGTTAAAAATAGGGTTCCAGCATAAACCCACCTCGTTTCAACAGAGATCAGGTCACCCGAGAATATGTGGGTAATGTGACATTAGGCAACAGGCAGCGGGGATAGCCAGGCACCATAGAAATGCTATGACAGACCACAACTGGTTTGGATAACGCACAGAGTTTGCAGAGACACGGTGTATCTGGCCAGGGTTTAGGAACAAATTCTCATTTGCATGGTTCCATATGCATTTCCTGTGGCTCACCACCAGGCTTTGGGTCACAATCCCAAAGGACCCCAGAGTGCTGGGCAAAACTGGCTCCAGGTTCCCCGTACAAAAACCTGTGAACATCAATGAACAGAAGAAACATGTTATAGTTTGGAGACTCCTTTTAGTGAGAGGGAAGCATCTTTGTCCCTAACCTCATAATGTTCTTTTAGTGAACAGTTTCATTCTTTTAGGTTTTTTTTAAAGGGGAAAAATAGGTTGTTGTTTAGATTTTGTCCCAAAAAATATATTAAAAAAAAAAAATAAATCAAGCTCTTATTGCAGATCGTGTCCCAGAAGGCAGCCCAAGCCCACTGCCAGGACCAAAGCTGCACACCATTAGGCCAAAATAACTACAAGGATGTACATAAACATCACATGTGGGAAAAAACAGAGAAGAAAGGGCCACAACAAATAAGCACAGCAGGCTATCACAGCAAGTTAGACCCATTTCAAGCTGCATTGCTGGATTTATTCATATTGCAAAAGTCTAAGGGAGCAGAGGAACAGACCGCAGTAGGGCTGCAGCCAAAAGAGACAGGGTGAGACAAACCATTTGTAAATAACTGCGAAACAGGTGAAGGGTAAAGCAAAAACTGACAGTCTAAAATGAAGTTAACTGAAATCAATTACTTAATTAAGACAGAAGTTCATTCTTTTTCCTTGTTTTCTTACATATTACTAGTGTTGCATCATTATTTCTCTCTGAAGCTGTGAACATTAGAAAAAAAATATTTTTAAACTGAAAGCAACGCTGTCGTGAAGTCGGATGATTTCATGAGCTGGGGTCTTGAATAATTGTCAGGTTTGCAGTTACTAATAATCTGGAGCAATGAGGTTCCTGCCAGGTGAGAGGGTCGCAAAGACAGTGCCCTCAGCTACTACACCTGGAGGGAGGCAGCACTGCCTGGGGAGACCGCCGCACCCTCGATGCCCAACTGCTGCTGCTGATGGCCGAGCACGAGATGGTAGAAATATTTTCTTTTTCCACAAGCCCTTTTAAAACCAAGTGATATGAACTCAACTATTTTGTGGATATATATCAAAAAACATTTTTGGAGAAGGGCAATACTTAAAATGGTCCACCTCAACTTCTGAGTTTTTACTTTTAAGTCCTAATAGTTTGAAGTCATTTTGCCTTAAAGACCAAACATTATTTTTCTGGGAGAAGGGCAAGGGACAAGATTGGACAGAGTCATTTGAATATCCATTTTCAAAGGAAGCGAGAAGTGGAACTAGATAGTAGAGCTTCTTTTTCTTTCAGCCAGCTTGGGAATAGCCTAGGTAGAAGCAGTAAAAAGCATGACATTTTGAAAATCGGGAAAAAGCAAACAAATACCTTCCTGTGTGTTCAGGTAACTTTGTGCTTCTTAGATTTCCCAAGAAGTTACTAACCTATTACATTTTCCTTAAGATTAATAATTTTGGCTGCTAGACAAGTTCAGGTCAGAGTTTAACTGTTCTCTTCAGTGAATGGAGCAGAAGACATTGTTCGTGTTTCGTATTACTGGCACAGCTTATAAGGTAGTTGAGCTTTGAAATAACGTACCATCTAAAATATACAGTAGAGGAAAAGCATTAAGATAATGGAAACTCAACATTTCTAATGTTCCAAACATATAAATAGAACCCGAGTCAGTACATTAGACAATTGACTGGCTTTGCTTGAATGCACGCAGGAATAAATGGAAACATCCTTATTTCCTATCCCAAGGGGGAATTATTTCAGAGCCTGGTTTTGTGCATTAATAAAAAGCAAGATTCCATTGTCTGGTAGCTAAAATATCTTACTATAGATGCTGCATAAGCAATCCACCAAAAAAAACACCCAGAACTCTAGCATTGCATTCTCTAAACAAGTTCTTACCATACCTAGCATATTTCTCTGTGTACATATTGTCAATACAAATATATAATCAGGATGGTATATTGTTTGTATATTTCAGAAGTTCTGTTAGTCATCATGCATCCTGGCTGCACTTGAGTCTACAGATGGTCCAAAATGCTTATTTCTCGCATGCTACAATGAGTCTAACAAATGCAAGGACTGGAATTTCACACCTCTTTAGGAGAGAAGGGGACTGGATTGCAACTCAAAAACCAGCTTTCTCCCAGCTCACCACTGATACATTAATTCATTTCTTTAAGCTTCCCTTTGCTTTCTTCTCCCTGCACACCTTCAGTAGTTTGCCTTTATCCTTTAAAGGAAAAGTGAGAACACAAAAAGAATTTATAAACAAAGTATTCAGAAATTGTCCACATTCACAGATGCAGAGAAGAGGCAAAGAAACACACTGCCATGACGGGAACCAAATTCTTACTTGCAGTTATGTCAATTGTCGCCATTCTTAACGTTTGCCCTTGCCACGGGCCTGACAGATTGATCAGGTGTTGAAAAGCCAAGGACAGACTAAAGCCCATGTTCACGTTGTTCTTTTTTTAGAAAACGCTGAAAAAAGTTTCTATTCAAGGTTGGTTTGGCTATTTTGCCTCCAGGACACAATGCCACTGAACACTTCAGATTCTTCCTCAACACTACCACACAGAGCACTTCGGGGACTTTCTGTAAAATGCTGTAAACTTCCTCTAGTCAGTAAAATTGGGCTGAAACCAGATGGGAGACCTATCAAATTTCACACACCAGGATTTTGCAAATATTTGTCATTGGAGAAAGATTATTATAATAAAGTCAGGTTCACTAGAAGACAAAGCTGGTAGGATTGATTTTTATTTAGAGGAAGCCTTGCAGTTTGTGTTTAAGCTGCCTATTTAAATAGGCAGCTAACACAATAATGACATCTTAGGAAGAAAAAAAAAATATTCTTGGAGATACATAACGTGTTTAATTGAAACCATTAGTTTTACTGGCAAACAGCTTCATATTTCTGTTCTGTTAATCCGAACAAAGTGCTGCAATTATGACTCAATACATAATGTCCTCTAGTGCTACTCGCCCCACATTCCCAAAGTATAGAAAGAAAACAAAACTGTTTTCAGTTAACAAAACATTCCATGCTTCTATCCAGAATACTTTTATTATATGGTTATCATATACATCAGAATTATATTGGGAACATTTACAAATATGTAAAGATAGTTCAGAACCTCCATTATTCACATACACACTAACTCACACACTCATTTTGCATGTCTAGTCAGTTATCAGGTGAATGATGCACAAAATTATTGCTTTGTGAACATACACCTCAGATTAGATTTAATCTTCAGTGGCAAGAATTGAGATACTTAAAAAAACCAAAGTCTTAAATACCCTGTATAACATACCTGTGCATAAACCTAAAGATATGTTTAGCTTACCCATTACCTTTGAAATACTTACCAAAATTAAAATTTGAAAGCCATTTATAAAAAAAAAAGTATTAAAAAGTTCACCATTATTTACAAATCCGATTAAATTACACATAAATAAATATTTACATTCAACACACTGCTTCCCTTAATACACATAAAGCCTCCCTGGAAATAATTTTTGGCCTTAATAGGCAAAAAAAAAAAGAAAAAAATTTTCAAAAAAAGTTATGTGCCTATTCTTTCAAGTTTCCCCCCCAATTTAAAAACAAGACAATATAAATATGTGAATAAAGCTGCAATATCCTTAGACAGAAAGTTAATTTTCTAAAAGCATTTTCTTTTTGAACTATTCCTCGTTAATAAAATATCAAGATAATATCCACTGCAGCCAACATTACTGCAGTTTTAAAAAGCCTCAATATTTCCATAAAAAATAAGCATGTCAAATGCCATCAGATAACTTTTAAATCTAGCAGGATTTTAGTCCTCTCCTAGGGTATTCTGAAAATAAAGGAAAAAAAAAAAACACAAAACAAAAAAAACAACCCACAGAATAATCTCACTATTTTCGGGTGTTCATAAAAAACTTTAATGTACATAAATCTATATACCATTGTTTAATACTGCTTTATTGTTACTGTTGCATTTAGAGAGAATAAAACCCTGAAATTGTATCAGATAACAAATAGGCTTCCATCTAAAATCTGTATCTTAAAAACTATACATGAAGCTGGTCACCACTAGGTACTTAGATGTGGAAAAGAAATCTAAATATATCTCTTTGTATATTTCCATCAAAACCCCTTTATAGCACCACTTTTACAGCAAAGGATTTCAATACACTTGTACCAAGTACTTATCTTCTGGTAATTGCTTCCACAGATAAGGGATACTGCAGCTTTTATAGAAAGACTTGTCTCATGGATCCAGGGGGGAGTGAAGATCCTGAATAAGGTGATTTTTTTGTTCCTTTTTTCCCCTCCTTTCTTTAAAAAAAAAAAAAAAAAACACAAACAAAAAACCAACAACCAAAAACTCAAATCTCTATGTTCCCCCCGGGAAGAAGATCCCAGTCTGTGTTTTGGAGGAAGAATTTAAAGTCTGGTTTCTCTCCTTTTACTTCCTGTGCTTATCCATTTTATCAATGGTTTTGTTGGTTTCTGCAGGGCTCTGGTCGCCAGCGTTCATGTATGTTTTGTCTGCTATTTTTAATGCTTCATTTAGGTAGTTCTGGACGGATGTCATGGCAGCGCAGATGGCAGCGCTCCCAAAGCCATGTGTGATCAGGCTAAAATGAGTCAAACAGCCCTGGATGCCAGGGTCCAAGATGGGACTGGGTCTCGTGTTTCCAAGAGGAGTTCTGTCCTGAGTGAGGAGGTCTGTGAATTCCTTACAAATCTGCCTGCAAGACACAAAGTGATCACACTTTACACCATGGTGGGAATTTATGCAAAAGCAAATAAATAAATAAAAACAGAGAAAGTCCGTATCAAACATTTGGCAGTTATGTGGGAATTAAGTTTTCAGAAATTCATTACTCCAGCAGCAGCAGCGTCTAAAATTAAAGCCTATTTATTAGCACTGGCTTCCGATGAACCTTTTGTTATACTTATGTCGCAAAAAACACATACACACTCTGCAACATAACGTCTCCTCCTCTGGTGTCTGGCTGGCTCCGCAGCACTTGCTCTAGATTTTAAGGGGGGGTGTGGGAATTTAGAGCTAGTTTCTATGAGAACTTCCACAGCTGCAGTTAAGTGATTTAGAAAGACTAAAGCAGCTGAATAGGAGACTCAATTTAATTGTGCATATTATATCTATATGCCCTCTTTAAGAGAGACCTAGGCCCTGATCCTGCAAACACTAACACGTACGCCTGGCAAAACATGAATGGTTAATAACGCTCAAGCATATGTTGTTTGCTGCTTGTAAATCTGTCCCATTGATGGGGTTTCACAGGAGATGAGCAATCATAACAGAATCACATCTTTACAGAATCACATCTTTATCACAAATTCTCCATCACAAACGTCTTCCAAAAGATGATGGTTATTAGCGCTAACAACAATACCAATAATGATAATCCTGAAGAGCAGAAAGGGGTATGCTCAGTAAAATGCACAATGTTCAAGATATAGGAAAGAGGGAGACTGTATTTCTAAGAGATATTTTGGTTAAATAAGGTCTCTTTTTCAGGGAAAGATGTATTAATTCAGCTACAGGAGCGTGTTTGGCATGCCTGATTGGAGTCCAAAGTCAGGGCAACTCTTCTCAGCAGTTTAGCAGGCTTTTCTCAGGTCCTCTGCAGAGCCAGGGTGCCTTCAAAAGCAAGGAACCGCACCAACCCCAAACCAGAAAACATCTCAGACTGAACCAATCATGAACTGAAGGCTTTGTTAAACCTCAGCCTGGGAAGGCTGGGGAGGAAGGGGACAGTGGTTTAAGGTAAGCGTATCTTAACACAGGTATTTCCTACCAGAGACCTGGACATGATTTATTTAGGAGGTGCAAGTGTCTGCAGAACAGGTATAACAAAGCTTCTCCTTTACCTTTCCTCCCCCCATTCATCAGGCTTTGCAATAGGAATTTAGCTAAGTACAGGGACTTCTCACATCTACCAAAGGTTGGCTTTCACTGAACTATTAAAATCTTCAGCTATAATAGTGAAAAGGGACTATCCACAGTCTTGACTCCTGGTGTCCCATGGAGGAAACCTGTGTGCTGCTATTGCCAGAAGCAGCTAGGAGGACGTGGCAGAGGAGCTACCCTCACACCCAGCAGGCCCACCGGTAACTCTCCTTGGAGATGCCCCTCTGGGCTGCATGTACGCAGGTGGGTGAACCATCTCCTGCTCCCAGTCCCAATGCTGGTTCATGTTCCCAGGCCACACCTGCCCTCCACGTCCTCAACCGTGTCAGATCTAGGGACACCTTTTTCTCAGATATATAACTGGCCTGGTATAGGACTTCTGAAGTTTTTTCAACAGTTCAAAGGAAAAAAAAAAAAAAACCCAGAACAGAACTGGTCCAGACTGATGTGAGTTATCATACAGCATTGTTGTTATTATTATTGGTCCAGACTAAAATAACTGCTGCCATAGTTGAATTCAAACCAAAACCTAATAAAAAGAATTGCTTCATCTCCCTGATTAAAATTACACATGAAAATGTACCAAACTCTCCAGAGTCAGATACTTACAGTCAGACAAAAGCATCCTTAAAAAGGAGAAGGAAAAAAAAACAACCAACAATCCAAGCCCAAAACTTACTTTGCAGCAAGAAGCATATTCTTCCTGTTTGCCATTTCATTGCGGCCCATGTGTGGTCTAGTTAAATATTCGGCCACTGCTTTGGAAGGAAACTCTGTCTCACAAACATAACCAAAGTCACGAGCAAGATGTACAGCTTCACCTGGCGTGGGTAAAAGGGAAGGCTTATTAAATCTTGTTACATCTGCTTATTTTAAGGAGATCAGGGAAATAAGGGAAACTACTGTGAATTTCTAAAGTGTATTCCTGTTTTAGGAAAGGACACTGCTATTTACCACCATACCACTCGTTACAGTTTTCTGTAACATTTCTTCGTAAGTTTGCATCAAGAAAAAAAGAAACCTTCATGGCAATTACTACAAAAGGTAGTTCTCTTGCCTTTATACTGCAAAGAAAAACTCCTGTCTCTATCCAGATTAACTGTGCGAAGACTAGAATTCAGTCTAGATCAAATTGTCCACGGACATTTAAAAAACCTGGCAACTAAATTCAACTTATATAATAAAGAGTTTATCAGTTTAGTATATTTTCTAGATACTTTCTAATAAGCATTTTCATATAGTAAATAAAATTGTGAAGTCTATAACTAGACCATTTTTTTCATTAAGGCAATTTCATCAGGCTTAAAAAGAAGGATTGGCATGATCAGTGTGTTACCTGTGTGCATACACATAAGCTCTCTTAAACCCAACTTCCAAAGAAAGGTTTTAAACGGAAGTTGCTATACTATTCGAGCTGATGTACAAGTGAAATAGCAGTAAGGGATCGTTAGATCATTTTTCACTTTTCAATTGCTGCTTCTGTTCCTACTAAATTGTACCACTACCGGGAGCTGCTTTAAACAAACACAAAAGGTAACCACACACATATACATACCCCCTTCAAGTCAGCTTAACTGATAGAGGGTCCACATAACATGTTACAGATTAAAGGGGCTCCAGTTTCCAATCAGGAAGTCAAAAGCTATAAATCTCACTTTATATGCTTGTTTATTAGAAAAGCTTCTGAGGATACCGCTGAGGTAGGGCCAGGCATTGGAGTCAGCTGCCCCAGACTTTGAAAGTTTCCCAATAAGGAACCAAACCCATTAATGTGATGAGTTTCACTCCTTTTGCCTTCCCTGCCCATCCCTGCACACACCCTTATAAAACCCGAAACAACTCCCCCCCCCCCAAGAAACGCACACTGGACAAACGTGCATTTTGAACAGCTTGGCGTGTAGGAGTTGCTGCATCCCTGCCAGCATCCCTGCCACCCAGCCGTGAGGAAGAGGAGCATTAGCTGCCTTTGTGCAGGTAGGGCTCTGAGGCCAAGGGCTTAGTGGCCAGATTTGAAGGGAGAAGAAGGGGAGAGGAGCCCCTCAAAGGCAACACAGCTGTTAGTTGCTGCAACGTCCTCATCATGCTCACTTTAAAATAAACGAAAAACTCTATTATGCTCATTGACTTCCTAGCCTTTCCATGCTTTCCCAGAGGATAAAAACTGTACACAAGGGAAAGTTTATTTTTACGACACATTCCAGACTGACCTTCCACCAAAGATGTCAATAGTGTCACATTTGCAGCTTTCCTTCTACCAGCAGGAAGATTCAAGCCAATTTTATCCAGTTTTTCCCTTAATGATCTGCCACCATTTTTAGATTTGGCTCTGTAATTAAAGAGGGAAAAAAAAAAAAAAAAAGCCTTATTTATCTTCAGGGAACACTTCTTTTTAAAGATGAGAAATTCCAGTTACTGGGGGAAAGATAAAAAACAGGCTTCTTTTCAAGTGACCTACTTTTTAAATGCTCTACTACAAACCAGCCAGGATGAAACACAGCAGGTCAAAATCAAAATGTTTCAAACTGCACCATTGAAACCAACAGCTGTAGAACGATCACAAGCTGAATTAAGTGTATGCAAAAAAGGACGTGAAGTATCCTTCCAGTGATCAATCGCAACCATGAGATTTAATCCAAAAATCGTTCCATGGGGAGACGGTTTGTCACAGGAATAAGAAAGCTCCGTGAACCGTTTTGAGGCAAAAACCCCGACTTTAAAACAGAGAATGAGAATTGCTGTCAGAGCTGTTAATAGCACTTCTTGAGAAGTAGCAGAAGTGCAAAGAATTTTTATTTCCAAAGCCTATTAGGATTCAGTGTTGTTTGGCTTCTTAAAAACCAGAGATTTGCTAAAAGGCTTTCTTAGCTCCTCGTTGTGCTAATCTGGCTGCTCTCTCACACACACACAAGCACAGGAAAACTCACAAACAATAGACACGATGGGGATGGTTGTGAGGGAGTCGCAGCCTACCTTCTGAGCACTCCGCCCAGCAGAGAGGCGTTGAGACACTCGGGGGGCGAGAGCCGTCTCTGGACCTCTGCTACTGTCACTTTGTACTTCGATGTGGAGCTCAGGAGGGATAGTCTCCCCGGAACCGAACAAAATACTTCATTGGGGTTTATGACCACTCCAATTAATCCATCCTTTTGGCAGGGGAGACTCAGGGCACTGTTTTTCGTTAAGGAAATGGGACCTGTGGGAGGAGGAGGGAAAGCAGGTATTTTAGAAAAGGGGGAAATAAATGAGAAGTGGCAAGTGAATTTTCTTCCCACAAAAAAAAAAAACCCAGGAGACAGGATTTCGTTTTGTGTTAAATGCTCACGCCACTGACCCCCGTCCCCAGCGTCTATCTGCAGGACGGCGTTCGGCTGCAACCGAAAGGTCTCCACAACTATTCCTGAACAAGAGCTGTATTTTGCCACACTAAATTTCAAGGAGCTGCCTAACTAACTAAGAACGCTTTTTTAAAAAAAAAAAAAAAACAAAACAAAAACAACAAAAAAAACCCACAAAACACACCACACACAAACCCCACATCTCCGAAGCAGCGTGCTGCAAGTTAGCAAATCCATGCTTATAAAAGCCCGATACAACTAGACTCCAAATTAGCATCCTTCAGCTACTGCCAAAAACTCTTTCCGAGCCGGGGCAGGGAGAAGCATCCCAGCTCCTGCTGGGGTTCATCTTCAACCTCACACACGCGGATTTGAGAAACCGCCTTTGGAATTTAATCCTGACAAATTCATAACAGACAGCACAGCAGAGAGAGGGATGCAGCCCCGAAGAGAACCGAAGGCAAAACATTGCTCGTTAATGGCTCCAGCCTTTAGGTGAAGAGGGACAACAAAGGCTTTGCGAGGAGCAAACCGCAGATCCAGCTTTTCCATCCCCTCGTGAATCCACCCAGTTAACCCCCGGTGGTGTGCTGCCGGCTCACGGCACCGATCGGAAAGGGTTAAAGAGCCGAGGTCGGCCCCGCTCCCCGGAGGGGGAAAGATTTTTCAGTGGTGCATCTGACAGCGAAATTATTCTCCCATGAGCTAAACGCAGCAATCAGCGCTCTGACAAACACTTCTGCTTTTCCTCAGTTAGGTATTTGTTTGAAGTCTTCAGAGGAAACTTCCACTGATTTTTTTTTAAAGCACAAATTTGTTTAAAAACAAAAGCAGGAAAAAAACCCTAAATGACTGTAAATTGAGTCAATACGTCTTTCTCCTTCCTTGAAACCTCAGTTACAAAACCATTTCGATTAAGATAAAGCCGAGCAGGCTTATGCCAGCCTTGTAAAGAAGTTGAAGAGGAAACAACAACAACAAAAAAAAGAAAAAACCCAAACTGTATTCGAGTACTAGCGAGCAAAAAAAACACCACCCAAACAAAAACCAAACAAACAAAATATACCCAACCAAAACAAAAACCCAAAAAACAGCCTCGTGTCACTTTACACACACATATATTCCAGGGCAGCAGTAAATTCGGTCCAAGGTCCTGGTTCGGATTAAATCCACCCACACAGAAGAGCAGGGGTTCGTCCGTGCGGGGACGGCCAGTGTCCCCCGGAGGGGTCTCGCCGCCGCCGCCGGGCCGAGGCGGCCCCGGGGGTTTGTCCCCGCCGCCACCTTCCCTCGGATGACGTTAGAAAAATCCACCGACGGAGAGAACGCAATAAAAACCCCACCGCCCTCCCGATCGAAAGGATCTGTCTCTTAAAACATAGTAAGGCGTCAATTCACCGGTGCGTCATTAAACTTTTAACTATTGACAAGGGAAAGTAAACTGCAGTGCCACCTTACTGACCTTTTCTAATGACTGTCTGGTCATGCATTAATAAGTGTTGATCTTCCACGTTCTGGAAAGAGAAAGGGGAGAAAGTTTCGCACCTTGAAAAAGCTGAGAGGGAAGGAGCCGGGGGGCTTTTGGGAAACCCACCCCCGCCCCGCGCGTCCCCATTTTTAAGGGCTGAAAGGGAGAAAAGGCGGATTTCGCTGCAAGGGCGGGGATGGGGCAACTGAAGCTGGGATGTGCAGAAGGGGACGATGCGTGGCTCCGCAGCCGAGCGCTCGGGCATCTCTACCGGCCGGGGAGCGCCTGTCCCGCC